AACATAAAAATGCTGCTGCCAGTGTGGGATTTTTTTTTCTAATTTAATTTTCGTAAATTTAATTTTTTTTTTTTTTTTTTTTTTTTTTGTGGAAATCCGTCTACCTAATTCATGAGTATCATATTTACATGTTATCCAAATATTTATGTGGTAAGGTCGAGTGTTCGCTGGCACCTTGAAACCAGCCATGCCGACTGGAGTGCCAAGCCACGTTCGTTCGCATTTTTTCACAATGAGCCAAGTTTATTTTCAGTCACAGCGTGAAAACAATGAACCATAACTAAGTTGGGTTTAATAAGGTCAACTTTACAATGATGAACTTTCTGGTTTAGCAAATCGTTTGGACCATGCATTAGCTTTGAGGCAATTTAAGGCAGTGATTTATTGTTAGCATTTCAGGGTTTCCTCACTCCGTCACGTTTTATGCTGCGTGCATTAGAGTGGGTCACGGATTTATAGCGTAAGTTCAAGGCTTGTGGGAAGATACCAAATACTACTTCACTCTTAGTTTCTACTTCGGTAATATTATTGTCACATGTTCGTCTGTGATGGTCCATCGGAATTAGTGCATTGTAAATAGGTACATTATTAAGAAAGGCTCAGTGCTGAAGTGACAGCATACTAATACACGCGAACACAGGGTCACATATTGACTATATTACCCTTAGTGACTCACTTACAACATGCCAACGCAAACTCGGTATATCGAAGAGAAAAAGAAAATCCGTATACATTACACAAACTGTTTATAAACTCTCGTTTGCCATCACAGAGAAATAGTTATGGTTCTGGAAACATGTTATGGTCTAATTAGTTGCAGTATATATCGTGTAGGGATAAGCTCGGAATAACACAATATAGCCTAAAGTAACCTTGTCTGCAAGGGAACAAGAATGCAATCTCATTGGAACGTAAATGGCTTCACGGTTTGCCAACTCAATAAAATCACAATGCGGGAAACGCTTGACAGAAGAAAGGGACCACTGTCAGACTGAGTTAAACGAGGTTTACAAGTATAAGTATATCCAGTATTTTCTGAACAGCATACCGAATATTATAACATGACAAATTGTGTGCTACAGGCTGCTATAATGATCATTGTATAGGTCTTACGACTTACCAAGTAATACTGCCAAGTTAGTCAACAGGGCGTTGTTGACCATGTTCACGTCCATGTGTGAGTGTGAGATACCAATTAACGTTGTTGTTATTAGACCGCAATATAACACTTGATGTAACACGTACTCGTTAATAACAACGACCCGCCGTCGCGGAAACAGCAACTCTCTGATAGGTTGTAACCCACCGAAACGTTAAAAATGACGTAACTGTGTTAAGTATGTCGATGACTATCGCGAAGTTTCCAATTGAAAACAGTCGGCGGTATCATGGAGCTAATAAAGAAATAGCTCCATGGCGGGATTGGGGTGACCAGGCGTCGCCGCTAAATATCGTCTCGTTTCTTCAAATGTAACCTATGGCACGCTAAAATTTGGGTTAGGACTCAGTTCTTAGTTACACAGGCGTGGGAGTTTGAATGGGTGATATCATTTTTAGCGGGGTCTTCATGTGATGGACGGACATTGCTAGCGCCAGTCTAACGTGTAACACATTCATTTCGTTTTAATATTGCAACTTATTATATAACACAAAGCAACCTGACATATACATAGAACATATAATGTGTTATTATTTGGAAGTCAAGCTCTTGTAATGTAACATGCATACCCCGAATTTCGGCGATGTAACTTGATGGTACGTCCCATTTCCTGTTATTCACTAACGCCAACCACTGGGCCGTATATTTATTGATGTCTTAAAGCATATTGTGTTTCACAAGTACCTGTTCAATTAAATCCTATATGAGCCAATGTCCAGAGTCTTACATGATGACGTCATGCACATTTAATAAATCACAGTAACCCATATTTCACACTTGCTGGCCGCTAAACCAAATCATTGCCAATTGATACAGGACGATGACCCTGCTCAAAGGATTACAACTCAGGGACACTTCAGCTGGAAATTTGAATTTTTTCCTACCAAGGGATTTTCCATCACGTTAATCTGTACTAGTTACTTGAGGTGGAAACTACGAAGATGTTTGCGGAATCGAAACATTAAATGTGTTTAATTTGCAATGTAAAAAAATAATACAGACGTAGTCTGTATAATTCTGTTTAACAACAACCGTAGTTTGGATGTTTTATTTTTCATATGTGGGATGTGGAATGTGTTTTTCCTGGGTAGTTATTTTCAGCATGGTTCTCCACGGAATGCAATGGTGCATTGCATCACTTTTTTACTATGATTTTCATTGAATTTACCCATGATGACGTGCGTGAATGCTCCAAGAAACGACACGAGTCTGAATCTGCATTCTCGTCCTGTCGAGCTTTGCCTTGATGATCTCGCAACTGATGAGAGTTGGACTAGCGCCACTACGAGAAAGTGGTTTCCCATCTATAATGCATTTGTTTTCAAGTAATGCGTTTTTATATAGTATGGGCATTGTCATTTTCGCCAAGGTTCATTTTTAGTTGGCCATCACTGCACATTTTTGGCTTATTTTGTTGTATTTCAAATCCGGGACTGTGAGATTGAGACACCACTACTGCAAATTGCCACGCAAAACTGCTTACTGATTAGCAAAGTTGAATTCCAATCCCACGCACGCCAGCGTAAAAACAACCATGCACACTCATAGCGTACCACTTGTATATGAGGTGGCACTTTGGTACAACGTGGCACACACAGCGTACCACTTGTATATGAGGTGACACTGTGGTGAAATGTGGCACATACAGCGTACCACTTGCATATGAGGTGGTACAATGTGGCACACACAGCGTACCACTTGTATATGAGATAGCAATGTTGTACAACGTGGCACATACAGCGTACCACTTGTATATGAAGTGGCACTGTGGTACAACGTGGCACACACAGCGTACCACTTGTATATGAAGTGGCACTGTGGTACAACGTGGCACACACATTGTACCACTTGTATATGAGGTGGCACTGTGGTACAACATGGCACACACATTGTATCACTTGTATATGAAGTGGCACTGTGGTACAACATGGCACATACAGCGTACCACTTGTATACGAGGTGACACTGTGGTAAAACGTGGCACATACAGCGTACCACTTGTATATGAGATAGCAATGTTGTACAACATGGCACATACAGCGTACCACTTGTATATGAGGTGACACTGTGGTAAAACGTGGCACATACAGCGTACCACTTGTATATGAGATAGCAATGTTGTACAACATGGCACATACAGCGTACCACTTGTATATGAAGTGGCACTGTGGTACAACGTGGCACACACAGCGTACCACTTGTATATGAAGTGGCACTGTGGTACAACGTGGCACACACAGCGTACCACTTGTATATGAGATAGCAATGTTGTACAACGTGGCACACACAGCGTACCACTTGTATATGAGGTAGCACTGTGGTACAACGTGGCACACAGCATACCACTTGTATATGGGGTGACACTATGGTAGAGGGGAGGCAAGGGGGGTAGCTGGTACGGTTTTACGGGAAACAAAAAGGGCTTTTCACAATTTACAAAGAAAAAAAAGACGTTTTTACAGTGTTAACAAATAGAACATTGAATCACAGTCCCTCTATCATGATAGAAGGACTGTGATTGAAAGGTCCGAAGAGCTCTCCGACTCAAATTCTCCACCATTGCTGCGCCGTGTGAAGAGACGCATGCGCACATTACCCTCGTAATGCTCTTCATTCGGTTAGAGGGCCTTTTACGTCTTGACATGGTATAATGTTTAACCCTCGTTCGAGTCTATGTATATATGTTAGGTTTTTAAATCATGTGTAACGTACATGGTTTTGTAAACTCTACCGCATTCACTTCCAGTTTAACAAAATGTCTGAGCCAACTATAGTGAATTTCGTGAAGACATGAATGCTTTTTATTATATAAGACATTCAGAAATGGTTCTAAATTTTAAATGACGGTTGAAACTAGTTCGATTTCTTTAAAGCGGAGGGGTCGTCACCTGCGCACGCGTGGGAATTGGGTCCCAAGCGACGATAACAACACACGCTAAGAACACAAAGGCTCATTCATGGGTAGACGCTTGTTTATAAACAATGACATGCTGTGGCCATCTTACACATGGGCAGGCGACGACTCCCCCGCTTTAAAGATGATACTTGTATAAATTTGTATTTACCCTACCAAATGTGTGTGGGAGTATTTAAATTAGTACATATGTTAGTACATATGGTTTTTCTTTATATCTTCAAAATCCACCACTCCCCAAGGAGCTTTAACTACTTGACTCAGGATAATTTAGAAGTGCTTGGCGGAAAAATGAATAAAAGTCGTCACACTCAATATGTGTGTAATACAATTTGATAATACTCTGTAGGCTGTAACGAATACAGCAGTGTGATCACATTAATGTCAGGAAATCGGATCACTATATTATCACGCTGAACTAAGTAATGGTTCTCTCATAGTAGCTGCTGACATAGAATGTAAAGTAAACGGCATGGTAAATACTACGTCAAATCAAAGTATACACGTACTGCATCCGTGACTCGAGCAGGTGCTCGCGTACTGCACCTAATCGCCTGGCTTCACGTCAATATTCGTCCCCCTCTCAGCCACCGGGCACCCCTATTATTTTGGCGGAAAAATTGCATAATTTGGCACTTTATCCTGAAACTGAAAAATTACCCAATCATAAAAAAGATGTCCCAATAATGTCTTTTCCGGGTGGAACCTAGCCAATCTCTCCATTAAATCACCAGTTTATTTCTTAGTGACCTAGCTGTGGAATCATAGTTCTATGTTGCCGACCGCATTATTTACGTGACTGACTCTGGCCGGCCCATATGTTCGACGTACAACAACAAAATTAAAAAAAGACGTCCAAATGAAATTGTTAGGGCGAAATTCGATTGTAGGTCGCACCAAAGAGCTACGGAACCGCAGCTATTAGTGACCGTGATAATTGTTTTTCAAAACGTAGATTTATTTTTTGGATAGTAAAAATAGTGTACTTACTGGCACAGAACGTTTAATGTTTACGAATTCATTTTCTTAGAGCATGAATATTTTCGCGACTACTACTACAGTAGTCATAGGTCACGCTGATTTCTTGGAATTCTATACGGGCGGTTTTTCATTCACTAATGGGTGATTATTAGAAAAAAAATTTTTTTTTGCCTTCACCTGGTTTTGTGCTCTTTTCATTCCTACAGAATTCTTCCCATGATCTTTTGCATTTTTGTTTGTCTTAATTCTGCCATCATCTGGAGTTTTGAATGACCCACACTATGCGCTAATTGGATTATAGCGCGTTCATAAAAATCTAATATAAACAATTCATGATTTCTGAAATGCTTTACACGCGTTGTATACGTCGCTATGAGTCCCATATCGAACAGGACGCGGCACGACGACTGCCGCCCTTTAATATTGTTTTAAAATAGTCTACAGTTCAAATAGTCAAACGAAAGGTCAACACGCTTATGCCGTAATTTATCACAGATGTCGTAATTTTGCGATAAAAATCAACTTACTATTTGCCTATTTCTGAAGCGCCCTCAGGGGTAGATTTAAAGCAAATGGCCAACATGGCGTCTGATGACAGTTTTGTTCCTGATCTTCTACCAGAGACGAATGGGGGCCAAAACAGAGATCTTTCTCCGTATTTCGGTCGGGTGAGTGAGCTGACCTATCTTGTTGAATATGTATATATTCACGCCGTACACTAAATTTACCGTAAATGACGTCTGTTTGCATGTGTTGGCCGTCATACGGGCCTCATCAAAGACGAGTGCGTGATTTTCACGGCTGATGTTAGCATTTTTTATTCCCTCTCTTTACTTGATATTGTACAGATATAAATAATACAAAAAGTACCACATAGTTTGACTTGTGGTACTCTAAATTTCCGAATAAGTGTTTGATCATTTTTTGATGCAAGCAATGTTTAAATGAATGAATTGGCAATCACGAGCAAGTCGTTCTGATCGCTTTGTTTACTAGTGGCGAGTGTGATTGGCTTGTACAGTGTATATTATGGTGGGCGTTCCCAAATTGCGCCCTAGCTGTACGTTCTCTATTCATTTCAATAAATAATTAGTTATTTTAATCGTGTTTATGTATCGTTTCATGCTCTGCAACAATTATGATTGATCCTGAAATTATGATTTGATGTTCTGTTGAAATAAATCCACTAAAATATTATTCGTTTTAAAACACGAACGATAAAACGATAAGTAAATATTGACATAGGTCAGTACTGCATTGCTATGTTCACACAGCAGCATTCTATCAGAGCCGAACTACTGCTCCTCCCACTGATTTAACAGGAGATTATCTCCAATGCGTTCATACAGGGTCGGGAGCCGAACGAGAGCCAAGATCCGCCAAAGTTCGATTCAGTTTGATCAGAGCCAAACAGAGCAGTGCCCTCGAATAATGAGTATGAAAAAACTGTACTGAAATCGATTTTGGTGTCGTGTTTGTGTTGTTTCTTTACATGGCACGATCTTGATGTCCTGGGAGAAAAAAAAAAGTCGCGAGTCTGAGCATGGAGGTAGAAAAGACAATGCACTAGTGTTATTATTTAGGTACATTTATTTAGTTATTATTTAGGTACAGTTAAAATGTGTTACAACCTATTATTTATTGTCATGCAAAATTACCATTTGTAATTATTCAACTGCTAGTGATATCTAAACTACTAGTACTATGAAGTCCCTCTATCCTCTCTATGTATCATAGAAGGACTGCGGAAGAATCTAAACCTATTAGATCGCTTCTACGATTTTTCTTTGGTGTCTTTAAACAATTTCCATTCACTCGTTCTTTCAAGTTTTTGTTGCATAATGTCGTACGCTATTTTTCAGTTTCCCGTTGAGCTATCAATCTATCGCAGTGGCAGTAATTCTTTGCTTTGCCAAGTGTATATTAGGGCGCGTACATCTTCTTCAAGCCTGAAATTGCGTGAAATTACGAAATATGTTGTCTCCACCATGAAATGATAGGTCACTTGAAGAAGACGATTGAGAGCGTGATTTCGGCTCCAATAGTTGGGCCCTGATGCGTTTACACGATCGGAGCCGTGTCGGGACTCAACCCTATCGGAGTTCAACCCCAAGGGTTTAGTTAGCTGAAATTGGCTCGAGCCGAACCCATTCACATGACCATTTTTGCTTGCTCGAGCCATAGGGCTCCGATAAAATGCTGTCGTGTGAACGTAGCACATATGTCCACTTTTGGTGATAATCCTAATACTTATCAATATTGGGAGTGTTTTGTATTTTATCAAATTTTAGGTGTAGTGATAATTTGTATGTTATGATATTTTATGAGATGCTGCAGTTCTGTGATCATAACAATACTAAACAAACCTGAAATGGTTTGGCCTTAAAACTGGTTGTTTATTGATATGCCAATTATCATTTTTTATCGTTGATGTAAAGTATGCTCTAAAATTATTTCATAAAAATTGTATCAAATGTCTTGAGTATGAAGTATTCATAATATACGCAATTTTCTACCATTTTTGCAATCACATGACAACAGACAAAATAACGAAAACTATAAAAATGTATGACAGTGAAAGCAATAGCTACAGTACTGTAAAGTACTTTTAGCTCGAATTAATTTTTGCTGGAAAAAAAAATTTCACTGATTTTTGATGAGTTGAATGTAAAATATAGGAAAAAAGATATATTTGCTAGATTTTATTTTCACTGAATCATCCTCTCAGTGAAAATAGCGAAAATAAATTCCACGTGAAATAAAGTTTTACAGTAACATGACCATAACATCTGTAGAGACTGTTTTGTGAAAGATTGACAGTAAAACAGGTTAAATATTTCATTTATTAAGTTTTTGAAACACATAATAGATTTAAAAAAAATGCTACATTAATTACCAGCCAATACAATTATGTCACTTGTTGTAAATAGTCATTGCAGAAACTCTGTTGAATCATTGACGCATAGTCCATTGTGTAAACACAGTCTGTGGTTTAAAGTTACATTCCTACAATGTATTTATGTGCAGAACACCTTATTGTGATCACCATGAGAAATGATAAAATCAGTTGGTATGGCAACAAATCTTGAAATATCGGAATACTGAAGCTTATTGTGTCTAATCACCAAATCAAATGTAATTTTCAATGTTTATTTTGATGTTAATTCTAAAGTTGATTTCTGATTACTGTTAGATAAGATTTCTCATGTACTATACAAAATCACAAGCCCTTATAATACTTACAACAGTCTATGAGAGGTTTTCTTCAGTTCATACAAAGTGAGGATACAACTTAAAATTCACTATTTTGATATTTGATTACTGTAAAATCTGTATTAGAAGCTATGGCTTCTATTGTGAAAATGATACAATGCAACAGAGAGGATGCAGCTTCTATTAGAGCATCTACACATATGAGAAATGATGAATTTTTGGTTCTCAATTGTTCAAAAAGAATGGGTGCGACTGCTGTTATGGATGTGGTTTAATAAAGATTTCACGGTATATTCCTTTTTAGATTCACATACTGCAAAATACTTTATTTTAGCTGGAATTAATTTCGCTGAGAAGTCTTTTTTGATGTTTTGTATGGAGTTTATTTTCACTGATTTTTGATGAGTTGAATGTAAAAAAAAAGTATATTCACTGGATATTATTTTCACTGATTTTTGATGAGTTGAATGTAAAATATAGAAAAAAAAGGTATATTCACTGATTCATTTCTTTAGCAAAAATAGTAAAAAATAAATTCTGAGCGAAAATAAAGTATTTTACAGTATTTTCCACTGAGACAAGGAGATATTTTGTAATGTAACATGTTATTAATTCAAATGGATTTCACTTTTCAGTGTAAATAATGAAATTTAAACATAATGAACGGATTCATAGTGTGTTTACAGTAATTATGCATGGTATCTTTTATTGCTCACTCTCATATAGCGCCCTCTAGTGGCTATCTTCTAGTGCTCCTCTTTCAACCACGTAAACTATCACTTCAATGTAATATTCCCTTAGTTTTCTAGGATCAATTGTATACATCCAGAGTAACAAAGGATTTTTGTTTTCTTTCTTAATTTTTCCAATTTAATTTGTTCATGCATGGATTTTAATTGCTGCTAAATGTCAGCTAATAAAGTGTTGGTATTTTGTTGTTATTTTGTATGTCCAAAGTTTGTGATTGACTGAACATGAGACGATGTGTCTACCTTAGTTTGATGATTGAACAGTTTAGTTTTAACATCAGAACTCCATTTCTAATTTGACCTTTTTTGCATGTTGTTTGCTGTGCACTGATCAACATACAGTAACATAAAGTTGTAAATTGTGAATAAAAAGGGACACTTCTGTGATGTCAAACAGGCATTACAATGCATCATTGAATGTAGAGGTGGAGTCACTCATGCCTACTGCCCTCTAGTGACTGGATTTCATGCAGTCCCCCCTCCCCCATCTAGTTGTCAATATACATATATAACTTGTTTATAGAAATTCCCTTTACTAATTGAAATTTGATCTGTGTAGTGATGTTTACTAATGAAACTTCTGTCTTTTTTCTCTGTCCTACCCCTTTTCTTGTTTGTTTTTTACTTTTTGTCATGGACACAGAGAAAGAGTTCATTAAAGCTGTCCTTTACAAAACAGGTACATGTCTTGTTGCCTATAGTATTTATTATTATACATGTGTCACTATATTTCATACACATGACAGCAAACTATATGTACTCCATTCATTACATGTTGCTATGATATCTGTATATTAGTTTTATGGTCACATTTACTTTGTATCATGTTGGTGTACAGTATTTTGCTTTTCATATTATATATATTATGTGAGTCTCATTGTTATCGATAATTTAAGTTATTTTGTTTACCTATGTTTCTATTATGATAATGTTAGGTATTTCAGTTTTGAAAGCAAGTTAAGCTAGTTTGAGGACAGCACTCTGTTAAGTTATGCTCAGACTTTACTGTACTTAATTTATTGACAATGCTATCAAAAACCTACAAGCAATTAGTTATCAAGTTTATTTGGTTCAACAAAATAATGTTGTCATTCACTGCCAAATACCATTCTCATTATATATTGATATTAAGGTAGTAACATTCTACTTCCTCATGTACTTCACATATTAATTCTTATTTTATTTTTCTGTATAGAATAGAAGTGGTGTCTGAATTTGTATTCATTCTAGCTTCAACCATTGTCACATTGTGAGCTAGTGTAACTAGAATGGCATGGTTAGACATGTTCATGGTTTTGGCAAAAATGTGAACACTTGACATCACAGTGTTATGGTCTATAGACAAAGCATGGTCTTTAAAAAGAAGTTTGGTTCACAGAGAGAGGTTTTGTCCATAGAGGGAGGTTTGATTCACCGACAGGGCATCTAGTAAATAGAGGAAGGCATAGTCCATTTGAGATGCCCTTAGAGGAATGCATTTCCAAAGAAGGAGGCATGGTTCATTGAGGGATGTTTTGTGCATACATGCAGAATGAGGTATGGTCCATAAAGGGAGGTTTGTCTAGTATTGTCCATTTGAGAGAGGTTAGGTCCTTAGAGGAATGCATTGTCCACAGAAGTAGTCATGGTTCATTGAGGGAGGTTTGGTCCATTTGAGGAAGGCATAGTCTATAGAGGGATGTTTGGTCCATTTGAGGAAGGCATAGTCCATAGAGGAATGTTTGGTCCATTTGAGGGAGGCATAGTCCATAGAGGGATGTTTGGTCCATTTGAGGGAGGCATAGTCTATAGAGGGATGTTTGGTCCATTTGATGGAGGTATAGTCCATAGAGGGAGGTTTGGTCCATTTGAGGGAGGCATAGTCCATAGAGGGATGTTTGGTCCATTTGAGGGAGGCATAGTCCATAGAGGGATGTTTGGTCCATTTGAGGGAGGCATAGTCTATAGAGGGATGTTTGGTCCATTTGAGGGAGGCATAGTCCATAGAGGGATGTTTGGTCCATTTGAGGGAGGCATGGTCCATTTGAGGGATGTTTGGTCCATTTGAGGGAGGCATAGTCCATATAGGGATGTTTGGTCCATTTGAGGGAGGCATGGTCCATAGAGGGAGGTTTGGTCCATTTGAGGGAGGCATGGTCCATAGAGGGAGCTTTGGTCCATTTGAGGGAGGCATGGTCCATAGAGGGAGGTTTGGTCCATTTGAGGAAGGCATGGTTCATAGAGGGAGGTTTTGTTCATACATGCAGAATGAGGTATGGACCATAGAGGGAGGTTTGTCTAGTATTGTCCATTTGAGAGAGGTTTGGTCCTTTGATGGAGATTTAGCCCATGGAGTTTTGGTCCATTTGAGGGAGGCATGGTCCATAGAGGGAGGTCTAGTCAATAGAGGGAGTTTTGGTCCATTTGAGGGAGGCATGGTCCTTAGAGGGAGGTTTGGTTGATAGAGGGAGATTTGGTCCATAGATGGAGGTTAGGCCAATAGATGGAATTTTGGTCCATTTGAGGGAGCCATGATCTATAGCAGGAGGTTTGGTCCATAGAGAGATGTTTGATTCTTAAAGAGAGGTTGGGTTCATAGAGGAAGGCATGGTCCTTAGAAGGAAATTTGGTGTGAAGAGGGAAGTTTGGTCTAGAGGAAAGTGTTGATCCGTTGAGGGAGATTTGGTCCATAGAGTGAAGTTTGGTCTATATAGGGAGGTTTTGTTCTTAAATGGAGTCATGGGTTGCAGGTTTCATGGAGGGATCCATGGTCCATAGAGTGCCAAAAGGTCTATGGAGGATTCCATGTACCGGTAGTTTAAATAGATATTAAATATTAATATATTATATATTGTCTACATAGGACAACAAGGTTTCACTAAGTTCTTATGAAATGTACATGTAGATACAAAAATACATGAGTAGTCTTGTAAATGAGAATTTGGTTATCTTGTATATTCCAGGGACATTTGTTGAATAGTATTGAAATTTGTGTATCAGAGCCTGAAAAGAGAACAACGTTATCATCTGTTGGGTTACGAGACACGTATACAGTGTATTTAGTAGAAACAAGGTGAGCTTTACAACGTTATCATCTGTTGGGTTACGAGACACGTATACAGTGTATTTAGTAGAAACAAGGTGAGCTTTACAACGTTATCATCTGTTGGGTTACGAGACACGTATACAGTGTATTTAGTAGAAACAAGGTGAGCTTTACAACGTTATCATCTGTTGGGTTACGAGACACGTATACAGTGTATTTAGTAGAAACAAGGTGAGCTTTACAACGTTATCATCTGTTGGGTTACGAGACACGTATACAGTGTATTTAGTAGAAACAAGGTGAGCTTTACAACGTTATCATCTGTTGGGTTACGAGACACGTATACAGTGTATTTAGTAGAAACAAGGTGAGCTTTACAACGTTATCATCTGTTGGGTTACGAGACACGTATACAGTGTATTTAGTAGAAACAAGGTGAGCTTTACAACGTTATCATCTGTTGGGTTGTAGTGTAATGTCAATCATACCAGCCAACACTGTGTTGATATCTTTTCCACAGTAAATATCAAATCTTCAAAACTGGAGTAGAATATATGAACTGTTGTTTGCCGTGGGTCCCATGTAATAATGCGATAAATTATTCAATTGAATTTGCATGAATTGTGAGGTCAAACATACATTTTCAAAAATACTGGTAAAAATGAATCTGTGTGAGAATTGTCCCATGCTATTCTAGTGTACTTTCACATTTTTAAATAATAAGTATTTTTTTCCAGATTAAAAGATTCCAATAATAAGGATTTTGTTGATAGATCAACATCGCTATGGAGACGATACAGCGAATTTGAATTACTTAAAAATTATTTATTAGTGACTTACCCAGCAATAGTAGTGCCACCGATTCCAGAGAAACGGGTATGTACATATCGTATTTGGAAATGTGAAGTTTGTGAATATGACTTAAAACACACATTTTCACCGATATACGTAGCAACTAGAAATATTTATGTATATACATATATAAATGTAACTCTTAACAAAATATTATGAAGTATGCGTAACTTTGGTGTTGATGTCATACATTCAAATTTATACATTTGCATATGTATTTTATTTATAGGGTGTAATTCACTGGCAACAGTTGACGACAGTTGACAATTTCGATCCTGACTTTATTGAGAGGAGACGAGTTGGACTTGAGAATTTCTTACTCCGAGTTGCTTCTCACGCAGTGCTGTCCCAGGATAAATTTTTCCATGCCTTCCTGCAGCAAGAAGATGGCTGGAAAGAATCTGTGTATGACACAGAATTTCAAGCAAAGGTGAGTACTGCGTAAAACTACCAGTGTGCCAAGTCAATCAAAATGGTGGATACCGGTAATTTGAATAGCCTGCTGCTTCTATTTTCTCAAAGTTGCAGCTCCAAGATATTTTTAGATTTATTTTTATAAAATTTTTTTACAGTATCACAAATTAAATGTGTCTCAAAACTAGAGTAAACAGAAAAGTACAATACATCTCCAAGTACAACTGTAATGTGTTATTCTGTCGTGTTTTCTTCAAAGTTCAAATTGGTATTATCTTCATCAGTCCATGGGATTTCACGTCATATCAATGTAGCACACCCTCTCTCTCTCACTCTCCTTCTGTGCATGAAATAAACATGTATTTTACTCATTCTTTAATGCACTGCAGCATCAGGATTACCCAAAAGATGTTACCATGGTAACACGCTTTTTTTGTCATCGCTTTATGCATGTATAATTGAGCTGTGATAATTAATTCTTTTCTTCGTTTGTCTCTTTTTGATAGCTACATTTTGTTTTCTCTTTATCGATTATGGTACTTTCTGTTTTCATGTTTTTTGCTATACCAACTTTTTTCTATGTCTTTCATTTTGTTTTATATGTTTGCCTTATAATTGCATTTTGATGTCTGTGTGTCTTTATTCCCTTGTCATTATTGATGCATTATTTAAAAGTATGCCTTACTGTACATATCTCTGATACATACATAATTCTATGCACATAAATGTAGATTTCAACACAATACATCCCATAATGTTGTAATGGGCTTGTTGTAGCCATCCATGGATGCTGACCATATTTGGTCCCATGGCTGTTAACATAACAAAACCATATAAATGTTTATTCTTGTGTCTGTTCAAAAACATATTAAAACCATATCTGCTTTAACCTTATTGCTGTTCAAAAACATAATAAAACCATATCTACTTTAACCTTATTGCTGTCCAAAAACATAATATAATCATATCTACTTTAACCTTATTGCTGTCCAAAAACATAACAAAACTATATCCACTTTAACCTTATTGCTGTTCAAAAACATAATAAAACCATATCTACTTTAACCTTATTGCTGTTCAAAAACATAATAAAACCATATCTACTTTAACCTTATTGCTGTTCAAAAACATAATAAAACCATATCTACTTTAACCTTATTGCTGTTCAAAAACATAATAAAACCATATCTACTTTAACCTTAATGCTGTTCAAAAACATAATAAAACCATATCTACTTTAACCTTAATGCTGTTCAAAAACATATTAAAACCATAATTATCTACTTTAACCTTATTGCTGTCCAAAAACATAATAAAACCATATCTACTTTAACCTTATTGCTGTTCAAAAACATAATAAAACCATATCTACTTTCACCTTATTGCTGTTCAAAAACATAATAAAACCATATCTACTTTAACCTTAATGCTGTTCAAAAACATAATAAAACCATATCTACTTTAACCTTAATGCTGTTCAAAAACATAATAAAACCATATCTACTTTAACCTTATTGCTGTTCAAAAAACAAAATATATCAAAACATTTTTACTAAACGCTTTGTTATTTTAAAGCATCATGCTATTTTTCAATTGAAAATTTACTGGACTGGAAGACTGCAACCTCTGATTTTGCCGTCTATGTGAATTGTTTCCTGGGGAATTACCTAGAGCCATGCTTAGGATAACTGTAATTTTACTATAGAGACAAGACATAGAGTGACTGGAGGAGGCTAGCTTGCATTAAGTCACAAAATGCATTTAATTGCACTGTTATTTCTATATTTGTCACATTACTGTCTGGATTTCTGTCACTGTTATATTGGAGGACTTAAATGTTTATATATAATAGCGTTTGTTGTTATAGTTACATACATGTAATCCTTCATTTCATAAGTTATTAAATACAAAGTAATTTTGCGTTTGCTCAAATGATGTCATTTTATTGATCAACTTGGTTACTTTGTATTCAAATAAAGCTAATAGAGGGAAGAGTTACGGTATATTGATACTAGCAATGAACTAACACCATGTTGCATTTCAGTTTTTGTTTTAATCACATACTGTACATTTCTTTTTAAGTTCATTTGAATTTTCATGTCATTCATGTCAAGTTACTATATTTAATTGAACAGCAAGCAGTCTGTCTATCCACCCATCTAGAACTGTATCTCAAACATGCCTCTACTAATTACATTAGGATACATATGCACTTCCATAATCTGATTCATCAATGCTGACAGTCATTTTAATGTAAAAAAGTCATCAAAAAAATCAAGCATTTCTGCCGTTCTGGAATAAGATCTTGGTCATGTATGGATGGATGTTGTTCAAACTTGTTTCATACATTGGGTTCTTTATGCACGTATTATTTTTTTCAGATCAGATTTAAATTTAAATGTGCTAATTTGTTTGTTTGACTATCAGATTCAAGATGGCCAAATGGCAGCCATTTTAATGGTAACAATTCATTTCTGCCATGTATGAATAGATTTTGTTTAAACTTCTTACATACATATACATGTACATTGGAAATTATAGCACCTTGATACATGTCATTTTGTTTTTCTTATCAGATTCAAAATGGCTGACTGACGGACATTTTGTATTAATAAATGCTGTTCTGGTGCCATAATCTGTAACATGCCTTGACCCATAGACCCTCCACTGGAGGGTCTATGCTTGACCAAACTTTATACATACATCATACATTATGTTGCACATATACACATGCATTTATTTGACGATCTAATTTAAGATGACTGAATGGCAACCAATTTAATGTTGATGTCATTTTGTTTCTTACATCAAATTAAAGTGGCTGACTGCAGACATTTTGTATTAACGAAGTTGTTCTAGAACGATATATCGTGTTCCCATGTACAAGTAAGGTCACTCTAATAGCAACTCTGTTTAGGGCACTCTTAAAAAATAACAAGAAAACTGAAGACAACAAGATCGTAGCTGACTGTCACAGTGTAAGGCCTGCTTATTGCAATTGAGAGGGCCACCCACAGAACTCACAGTGGGCTCTTTCACTGCTAGAATTTAAAATTTAGCTACCGCATTATAGCAATTAAAGA